ACGCTAGCCGTCAGCTGGTTCATGGAGGGTTATGAGCACTGTGTATTATTACAAGAGCAGGGCACCAGGGGTAAGGGGGCAGGAGGACAGGAGCCAGTTTCATTAATGAGGTTTGAAAGACTGAAAACAGCATAGGAAGATGCACCGGCAGTTGAGAGAATACATTTTGCAGATACAATTATAGTCCCTGCGAGCACACACTCACACCCTGCCCGCCGCTGCACTGCACACTCAGCTGCCCTCTCGGCCCTTCCGTTTCAGTAGAGCCGTTAAAATGTTTAGTTTTCCTGTGTATTTCTCCTACATCGAGAAGACAGGGGTAACAATAAAATGTCAACTCTGTAACAACAAAAGGCCACAGGAGGGAAAACTTAAGAAATCACAGGTCCATACTCTGGGAAAGATCCAGCTTCCGTCTGGAGAAACAGAGCAGGGAGGGGAAACAGGAAAAGCTTCCTCCTCAGGGAACCCAGGAGATGACAGCGTGTAAGAGGAAAATGTGAAAATGCAAAGCCCCGACTTTCAAACTTTAAGTTATAATTTTTAGCTAAAATGTTCTAGTATTCTTTTTTTCTTTTCTGCTAGAGATTGAGCCAGGGTCTTGTGCAAATCACACAGCCCACACTCAGTTACACACTAGCGCTGAAACCAACCGAGCACGTCCTACGCCCCAGCTGCACTCGGTCATGGCCCCGCTTGGTGCACGCTAAACACACCTGTATTACTACTGAGAACAATGGAAGGAAGTCGCCGCCATTTCCGGGCCACTTCCTATCTCGCCAGTGTGTATCTGTGTGTGTGTACACCCGGGGCCTTTGCACTGAACCATATCCACAGGCCTGCCTTAGTTTTTATTCTGAGACAGGCTCTTGCTGAGTCATAAAGTTGCCTGGATTGGCCCTTGCGATCCTCCTGCTTCAGCCCCCGAGAGCACTGGCACTGTCTGTGGTGTCACTGCCTCTGTAAGACGCCAGGTGGGCGGTCCCGCAGAGACTCTGTACGTGGGCTTCTTGGGTCTCACAGGTCAGGAAACCAAAGGAGCAAAAGCAACTTGATCCAGGTCACCTGACGGATGCCACGCGACACACCAAGCACACACAAGACACCGCGGCAGCCCACAGTGGACGTCTGCAGACACGCGTGTGCACGTGCAGTGTGCTCATGTGACGTGGGCTTCCTGTGGTGTACGGCGGGAGAGCGAAGCATTCAGGCAAATTGTGGGTCTAACTACCAAATGAATCTCTAGAAAGGTGCATGAATTCTCATTCCAACAACCAGTACATGAGAACTTCTATTTTCCTAGAACCTCTTCAATGTGCTTAACAGTGATTTTTTTTAAATCTTCAGTAATCTGATAGGCAAAAAACTGATTTTTGTAGTAATTTCTATTCCTTCCGTTATTAGCGAGGCTGAACATTTTGTCTTTGTTGCCAAAATGTGAAATATGCTGTTTGATCTTTGTTTTTCCATTCTTATATACATCTTTTTATTCTGCCTACATAGAGATGCATATACATAGGTTTTTCGAATGTTTATGTAAGAAAATAATTATTTGCTATAGTATAGTTATGAGAGGCATTTCCCAGTATGTACCAAGAATATATTTTTAAAAATTCTTATCAAGAGATTTTAATAGTAATTTTATGATTTCAGTTCTTAGAACTACAGGATTCTTTTGAAATTAACTTGTGATTCTGGTGAGAAGTGAAGGTCTGAACATTTTCTCCCCAAATGATGGCATGTCCTGTTTTCTGAGGAGCCTATCTTGCTTATACTGTTTCAAAAGGAACTTTTCCACATTCTGAGTTTTAAACACAGCCCCGAGGCCACGTTCAGGGCACACAGTGGCTCAGGAGGCCACAATGCTGGGGCAGCCGTTCCTGCGGTCCCTCGGCACGGCTGCCCAGTGTCAGCAGACCCTCCTGCCCATGTGAGCCGTTCTGTTGTCCCTGGATGGTGGGGATGAGTGCTGCAAACGTCCCGAGAACCACGCAGCCACGCAGCCAGCAGTGCATGGTCACAAGATCACAGCCACGCGTGTCTGCGAGTTCCACATTGAGCGCAAAACCTCCGGAGCGACACAGCTTCGCGTGTTGGGGAAGACACCTCCCCACTGGCTTCCTTTTTAAAACTGTCTAGCACTTCATTTCCAAGTCCATTTTCAATCAGTACTATATTTTTTAAAAGCATGTTCCATTTAGGATTCGGATTCAAATTATATTAAACTTCTATATCACTAGGAATAGCTAAAATCTAGATCTAAGTCTTCTGGTCAGGAAAACAGTCTCTTTTTTTCCCCTAAATATTCTAAAGCCTCACAGTTTCCTGTAAAGAAGAGACTACTGAGGTTATTAACCTGTGGTCCATGAATTCTTAAATGGGCTTCAAGACTTTCACCTAACAAAATGATACTCTGTGTGTGTGTGTGTGTGTGTGTGTGTGTGTGTGTGGGATGAACTGGGAGGTTCGTGGGTATCAGTGCACACTCTTCCAAGGCCTGGGGGGCGTGTCCAGCTTTCACCAGATACCTGCTACAGGCTCAGGAAGTCTTGGGTCGCTGCCTCGAGTTTCCATTTCCTGTTGTTTTGTTTCCCTTCTGTGGCACTGGGGATGGAACCCGGGCTCCAGCATGCTAGGCAAGCATGCCCAAGTTCTACATTTCTAATGGCAGTATTTCTAGATATTTTCTAGTTTTTGCCGTTATTATGTTATTTATAACATCTTAAAGTAGATTGTAGACAGATATTTCATATATATAATTCATAAATAGCCTTACTTGTCAGAAGATGTTTAGATTCTATACTTTTGAGGCTGGCAACTGTCCCATAGGTAGGTGAACACCTGCTGTCTTCCTTTCTGTATTTGTGGGGAGCAGAGGGGAGAGCTCAACGCCCTGTGAGATTCTTGGGGACAGTGGCACTAAGGAACTCCTTGTCATCCCCCAAATGCCAGTACAGACTGCTCTCAGGAGGAGGCCTGGGACAGGCTCCTGACCACGCCATCGGGACATATGGGGCTTATCTAAAGACTATTTTAAAATTAAACATGAAGACGGGCATGGTGGCACATGCCTGTAATCCCAGCACTCGGGAGGCTGAGACAGGCGGATCACTATGAGTTTGAGACCAGCCTGGGCTACACAGTGAGTTCCAGGTCATTCTCAGCTACATAGTGAGACCCTGTCTCAAAAAAA